CAAGATTTAAATATAATGACATTTTATATGATTTAAAAAAATTAAGTCAGTTGATCTAAAATACTGTTCATTTATTAATTTTTACGAAATTTTGTGTTGACTTAATATCATTGTGATTCATTTAAATTTTGACTATTTGTAATATTATATTGTATGAATATTGATAATGTATTTGTATATTTTGTAATATTGTCATTTAAACATTAAATTGTTCATTTAAAATTAATATATTTAGATTATCAAAGTATGCCGGGGACCAAACGTCCTATAGCTAATAACTCTCCAGGACGAAACATCCTATCTTAAAAATTGCCGGGTACAAAACGTCCGTGGACTGGTTTTTTGTCGGGTGCGAAACGTCCGCGATTCTTATTAACCACCTGCTGTAAAGGCTTATCATTTTTTCGTAACATTCGTTTCAAATATTTCATATAATTCTCAAAATAAAAACATCTGGAATTATCTAGAGGACCATACAGCTTATAGTTGTCAACTAATTGCAGTCATCCATGCATATTGTGTGACATAAATTCAATACCATAAATTTGTTGGAAAGATTTTACAAAATACTCAAGAAATTGATGAGCATACTCTAAATATTTACAATGATTTGAACTCAGTAACATTCTCATTGCAATACTGAGGGTCATAATATTGAGGTAGCAGTCTTTAGTTATAACATCCTTCAATAATAAAGGACCAGTGTACAATAAAAATTGTCTGAATTCTGTAGTTTTAAATCGTCCAACTTCTTCAATTTCTCTTGGTTTTCTAGCAAAGTCATTTGTAAAACATGACTTTATTTTTAAAAGATTAGTTGTAATTTTTTTTGATTTCCAACTTGGTAAGCGAACACTATTTGGCCCTTTATTTAACTATAAAATAATCAGCCGTTTTGTGATACCTAAACACACTAGTACATATAATCCAACGGAAACAGATCAACAATATTAACATTAGGAATCAATGCAAGACATTGTGGGTGAAATATGATATTGCTCATTTTTCATCAAAACATAATCTTCATGACAAAACAAATATGATTTAGATAATATTCACTTTCATGTGAACATTTAGTGCAAGAAAAGTAACCTAAATGTCCTATTACTCTTAATATAAAGGCTTTGGCAAGAGAATCACAACAATTTATTTTAATTTCAATTTTTTTAAGCTTATTGTTCATCCACAATCCACTCCTATTTAGTTCTAACACTTCAACAATAAAATCAGAAAGATAATTATTACTATCTGATGGTTTTTTATAGCCATGAAATATTCCAACAGGAAAAACATATTTATGATAGGGCATAATATAGGCTAATAGGCCAAAATTGACTGGAGCTACATTTCGATATTGGTAACCCATCAAACCCAATTGCAATTTGAATACATTCTTGCAAAGATAAAATTGATGAAAACCTTAGTATTCCATTACGTAAGCTAAAATGATAATAAAAACTATCTGGGTCTACTTATTTTAAATTTAACAATTTTGTAGAGTTAGAATGAAGAAGTGTTCGACTATCTTTAGGTATAAATGAAAGTTCAGCTTTATATTTCAAAATTTCTAATAGTTTATTAATTGTATTTTGAGAGGCATTATAATCTACAGCCCAATGAGCCAATGATTGTAAAATATCTTCTTATTTATTAAATTTACTTTTGTAAATATTTATAAACTCATCATTGCTAGATTCTAATAAATTTTCAATAGCTAGATTTGAAATTTGAATGTTATTATGTTGTACTATTTGCTGATCAGACAGGTCTATATCAGAATCAACAGTGTTTAATGAATTATTAACAATACTTGAAATAGGAGTTGTATTAGGATTAGGTAATGTTTCTTGTAAAGGTAAAATGGCATGAGTACTATTTGAAACATCTGGTAAACAACCTATATACCAATCACCTAAAGCATTCAACTCCCTTTGCACTTTTCTTTTTTTTTGTTCGAGTACAAAATACCTTTTTCATCTTATTCAACCTAAAACCAATTAATTTAAGAATACGTAATATAAAAATCAAATATGCGATTAACACTTAGCTATAATGAGTACTACCAATTTAACTACACCATAAGTTATTAATAATAAAAATGTATACATAAAATGTTTCAAATTCAAATTGTATTAAAATAATAAAAAAAAATAAATAATAATATTAAATATTATAATAAACAATAATTATTAGGTATATTGTATTTATATAACAAAAACAATAAATAGTAGTTTATAGTACATCACAATTTACTGTCTTTGTCTCACATGCACGTGCAACATTGATGTTTTAACGCATTATTTTAACACGTTATTCTATTACTAATGTATCGATTTTTAAGTCAATTTATTATTTAGGTCATATTGGAAATTGATAATCATTAAATTAAACAGGTAAATTAAGTTCCAAAAATTTACTATATATTAGACATAATTTACCAATTTGTTAATATCAAAAAGTTAAAAATAAGAATACATAACATTTCTAATATAACCTATTAATCAGGTAAATTGTATCTTTTTACAGAATTGAAATCAACTCATTTCAAATAGGTAGTCCTTATTTTTAATATATTTGTGTTTACTGTTTTTATTCTTAATAATGAGCCTAGGACAAAGATGGTAAATAATGGCTCTAAATCCCCTTAATACTATATTATAATATCTACCAATATAATATCAAAATCATTATAGTAAAGATACTTACGTGTTATTTTATTATATATTATAATAATATAACTAGGGAAGACTACAGCATACATAGGCGTGCGCATGAGGTATGCAGGATATGCAACTGCATACCTTAAACATAGAGTCTTCTTTCTAAAATTACAAAAAATAAATTAAAAATTATGACATATTTGGTCTTATGTATATTATGTAATTTTGTATTACATTATGATTTTTATTATATTTTTATATTCAGTCCCAGACAGATTAATTTATTTTTGAAACACAAATCATATGCTATAATAACGATTTAATGTGTTAATGAAATTAAGAAGTACAATAGTTCAAGCGAGATTAAATAGCTATTTAATCAATTACAGAACAAGAAATGGCTATAAATTCCAAAAACATTATTGGTAATATTAAGAATTCAACTGCACGCAGAATCATTTTATGATTAATTTTGATTATTTATCAAATTTATTTTGTTTTTCATTTAAGTATATAATTACGTTTTTATTTATTTACCTTATTTAAACGTATTATTCAAACCATTTCAAGTGTTATGTATTTAATTATTTTTTTCGTAATTTATTTTAAATTTTAACTATGAAGACAGTTATAACGATTAAGAAATGGCTAGTTAATCACTTTTTTCGGCAAAAAAAAAATTAAAATTTTAAATTAAATAGTTATTATGACCAGAATTTCGAACGCTTAAATTAACTTTCAATTTTAGGAGGAAGTAGGCAGTGGCACCCTCTTGCATACCCTGAAAAAGAGGTTTGTGCACGCCTATGACAGCATACACTATATGAATAAAACTATAGTTAGGTATATTATAGTAAAAGCACCGACGCACTGACGCACAGTCACTATATATAGTAGTACAGTTGAGAATAATTATGATTTGTGATTTGAATGATAATAATAACGAATTCTTGTGGTGCGTGTGATACAAAGCGATACGTTAGCGCAGTATATAATATAAATTATAATATATTAATAATATTATATTCCTCAATTCATTATTATCAGCGTGTTCGATAGTGGTGGCGGTGGTGATGGTGTTAAGGACGCGTCGGAAACTCGGAACGACGGATTTCCCATTGGCGATTTATTTTTAGATTCATATTTTTATATTATTTGCTACTTTTAACTTCGACCGGGACAGCGTAACAGCGATAAGCTTACATTATAATATTATATTCTGTACGATTTATTGATGATGTGTTATCACTTAGTCAGGCGTACGAAAATAGGTACGAACATATATAATATTGTATTCCGCATTTCCGCGACGTTTTCCGACGGACTATAGCTATAAAACAATACTAGGCGTATCCATCGAGTGTATTCCGCCGGGTATATCTATAATCTATAATCTGTACAATATCTAAAAAAAAAAATGTATAAACGTGACGTTTTCCGTCACCAGTATAGCCCATCCTAATTTAAAACAATGTAAAATGTGGCGTTCGTCCGCCAAGACGCAAACCGACCGGTGTTGTTCACCGCGGATGAAAACGCGGCGTATTACATCCGTCGTGTATAGGTACTCCGGCCCGGTATAAGACAGCATATTATCTTTTCATATATTTTCAGATTCAAATCTTGATTCTTGAATTCGACGGCAAACGCCACAGAATTAGCCGTGTATAGCCTCGGCTTTATTTAGATTATAGAATGGATAGTATAAAATATTATTATAAAATAATAAATCATTGCACGCGACAAAAAAACGTTGCTAACTATTCAATAGGTAGGTCGTTTTGAAAATGTTTCAATTATATTTGATTACAAATATATGATCAAATATTTTCAATCAAATATTTAACAGAAAACCTTAATTAAATATTTTGAAAAAATTAATATTATCAAATTGCCATGTGGGATATTGTTCTGTTATATGCCAACGGATTTCTCAAGAAATCGCACTCGCTATTTCACTATTTTATGAGATTCCCATAGAAAATATTTTTCAATTGAAAATTTGACAAATGTCCCGTTTTGCCTCCCCCTGACGCCGTCGGCTCCCTGCCGACATTTGCGCGACGGAGACGGACTCTGATGGTCGTACAAGCGGTTCGCGTATTACGATTGTGTAGCCGATCGTACTGATGGCTGCGCGTAAATGCGCTCCGAGACACGACAACAAGTCGATAACCGTTGCAATTAAACAATGACCGCGGTGTACGGCAATCGACCCAAATATCAGTACAAACGGTTGTGCAATCATAACGTTTAAAAAATAATACGTACACGGGCGTTCGCACACGCGCACGCATTCGCCTCGAGCATCGTATCGATCACTGTTCGGTTCGCGCGAGCCGTCGTCATCGCACTTGTTATCAGCGCGCGCGCGTTATCAACCGTTTCGGACAGTCTGTCGTCGCCGCTGCCGCAGACGATACGCGCGCGGGTGAGTAACGATACTACGACAATCAGCAACCGACGTTCAGCGCTAGTCAGCTAACCAGCTGCAGTCGTGTAATTCCATTTCGTTCTGTAAACAATTGCCCGTTTGCACGCAAGTACGCGGTCGTTTCGCACTAGATCACTGCCACTACCAGCGCCGTTCCCGTCATGGACATGGAAAATGTAAAACAGATATTCAGAGACGCTGGCACAGCGCTCAGTAGAGCCGTCCAGGTAAGCGACGCACTCACAACCGTAGCGTAGTAGTCGATGTATGCCGTGTGCGATAAATGACGACCGTTATTCGCGTTATGTGCGTATATGCTTGAGCTCTTACCACCAATAAATATTAATGAATCAAGTAAACAGCTGCTGGTCCACTGTCTGAACGGTGACTTATTTGGTTGCCAGCATATCTTTTTTAATTGGTGTACAGTTTAAAATACACCACTGATTTTGTTTGATGATTATTAATTGCTCTTTGCGCTTTGTTATTTGTGAACTTTGTTGTTTGGTACATCTACGGAATAATAAAGCTTATTCCATGAATGGATAACTATTTATTTGGTCTTCAACTAATACATACTGTTAAGTCATTGACTAACTGACATTAACATTTTTTTGTTACAAAATTCAATACTGTAGACCCTCGCTATTTCAAACTCCAGTATTTTGAAATTTTTAAACCTATGTCAAATTTTTTTTTTTTTAGTCCCTTCAAACTTCAAAATATCAAGGTTTTATTGTATTATGTCACATTTTAATTTAGTTCTAAAACTACGAATCAATTATATCTGATTCTTATTATTTTAATAAATCAAGTTTATGCGAGTTAAACAGGGGTGTATTGGTATGTGTACGTGGGTATACGCCGTATCCCCTACAGCAGATTTTTGATTTTCAATGTATACCTAATGTAAAATATTATGTTACGGGTATATGCTTCTAAAATAACTTGAAAACAAAAAAAAAAAAAATAATTAAATATTTCTTTGAAAAAAATTGTTATGAGTAATGAAGTTTGAATGAAATATTTATCTATTGAAGATTACAGTGTATTCTGTGTTTAATATATTTTAAGTTAAATTTATATTAAAGATATATCTATGCATTTTTAAATTAAAATAGTTAATAGTTAAGTTAAAGTAGTTCTCTACAAACATAGGATATTTGTTTTTAATTTATCAATACTTAATAAATTATATATTTATTAAATTTACTCATATTCCAATTTTTCATATTTTAATATTTATGTTGTAATTATGTAATAAAATAAAACAAAATTTAGTAAATTGTGTTAATACTTGTAAATCAATATATAAATAAATAGTTTGTATATAAACTATCTATATATTTATCCTGTGTGTTATGCAACTTGAAAAAAATGTTAGTGAAAATGGATTATTAATTTATGAAAAACCTAAAATTTATAACATTTTGTTTTATTAGACTTTTGGTGTTTATAAATATCAATTTTTTTATTTTTATAATTATTTGATTTTTTGAAAAGTATATAAAATAATATGTTTCAGTTATACTTTTAATTTTTCTTATTATATCCGTAAAAGATTTATACATACACAATGAATTTTATAAAATTAAACTGTTCTAGAATTTCATCGTAGAACTTAAAACATCAGATTATCCATTTTTGTCAAGCATTGTTTAATAACTTTTTGATAAAAAAAATTTTAATAAGGTCCATTTTTTAATTATTGTTACGATTTATATAGTTTACTGAAGAAAAATTGGGAAAAGCAGAAAAAACTGAACTGGATCCAAATTTTGAACAACTGGTCACCTTCTGTGATAACACAAAACAGAACACCGAAACAATACTGAAGAATATGGAATTTATTCTGAATTCCAACCCTGGTAATAATATTTTTTTACAACTTGTTTATCTCAGATAAATTGGTAAATAAAAATGTTTTATAATTTAAACAGTACTCGTACAAATATATTAAATAAATCTTATAACTCAAAATAAAATTATTTATTTCTTCTATGTACTATAATGTATGTATAATAATGATAATAATAATAATGTATGTATATATGTATAAGGTATGAGAGTTGAAAATCTATTCTTTTTGGACAAGAAAAAATCAGGTCTGAGTAGCTTAGAATACTTAGGACTTGCCATGACGGAAGCAGGAAATGATTTTGGTCCAGATACTGTTTATGGTAAAATATTTATATTACCTTAATTTATTAAAAAGTAATTATAATTTAAAATGTTTTTATTCTATATATTTAAGGAAGCGCTCTTATAAAAGTTGGATATGTTCAGCAAACACTTGGACTCAATCAAAGAGATTTCATTAAATCAGCCAATGACTGTTTTGTTAGTCCAATGAATAAATATTTAGAAACCGACATGAAGACTGTTGTTAAGGAGCGATCACTATTGGAAAAAAGAAGGCAAATTAACATAATTAATTGTTACAATTGAATGCTTGTTAAGTTGACTAATTATTATATAATATGTAGACTTGACTTAGATGCTTGCAAAACTCGAGTTCGCAAAACCAGAATGCTTGCAACTACTAAAGTTAAGGTATATTAAATTTTTTTTCACTTAAAATAGTAAAATAAGTTAATTAAGGTTAAATGAATGTTAAAATATGTGCATGCAGCAAGAAGACTCTGGTCCTACTACGGAAGAGTTAATTGAAAAGGTAAAATAAGAAAAATAACATGTAATGCAATGTGTGTTTGTCATTTAGTTTTGTGTGTCACGTACTTGTTAGAACTTTTAATCTCTCCTATGTGATATTATTTCTAGTTTAATTTGTTTTTAGGCTGAAAACGACCTCAAGATAGCTCAAGAAGAATATGATCGCCAGGCGGAAATCACTAAATTATTGATGGAAGGTGTTCCTAGTGCACACCCACAACACTTGCAACATTTATTAGACTTTGTTGATACACAAGCTGCTTTCTATTTAAAATGTCATGAATCTTTAATGAGTCTTCAATCTGATTTATCTGGGTAGGTATACTTAAATCACAGCAGATAATTGATAACAAACTAGTCCAAAATTATAAAAAAAATTGCCCAGCAATCTTCAAAAATTAACATGGTTTTTCACTAAAAATAAATTTAATAATTATAAATACAATTAAAAGTTTCTGCAGAATATTATTGTATAATTTGTGTAAAAATATTTGACTAGTTTTATTTAAATAATCATTAGTAGGTACAAAAGCTCACTCTAGACAAGAACTTTTATTCACTTTTTATTTTTTATATTTTATTTATAAATTTAATAGTACTGTGTCATTAAAAATAATTTTTTTTTAGGTTGATATGATTGTGTAATATGTACTAGAGGTGTTATTATAAGAATTTATATTATTTTACTTTACTTTGATTCTAATACTTATCTAAAATTATTATTATAGTGTATTAATACTATAGAACAATATAATAATTAGAATTATTATTTATTTATTTATATGAATGAACGGACTAGGAGCCTAATAGTACAACACAATTTGTAGTAATGATAATGAATATTATAACAATTAATAGATAAACGCCAAACAATACGGTGATTATATACAAATAAAAATAAAAGCAAAAGTAAACAAGGTAAAAACAGTAGTAAGTAATAACAGATTAAGTACTATTAAGGAAAAAAAAAAAGAAAAAACTTTCTAAGAGAAGCATAGGTGCTCGTTACAAATGCGCATCATACGATGAATGGGATTATTTCTACCATAGTTGGTGCTGTGGAAAGGAACAACAAAAGGAGAATTAGACCTTATTAAGCGAGAGAAACTTTAAAATTAATTAGAGAAAGGAGAAATGGAGCGTCCACACGTTCGTCAATCAGCTTATGCAAAAATACCAAGTTAGCATCAACTCTTCTATCTGCCAGGGACAAGAGTCTAAGTTTGTTCATCACTGGCCTATAATCATGTGGTGAATGTGGAATTTGTAGAATAAATGACGCCGAAGAACAAAAACGCCCCTGGCGTTTTATAATATATATATTATAATATCCTAATAAAACTGTATAGATAATTTTCAATGAAAAACGAGTATAAATTATTTCTAAGTATTAAAGATAATAGATAATTAAGTGACTATATTAATTTTTACGATTTAAAATGTTCTTTTATTTTTATTTCACTAAATAATTTAGGTATTCATTATTCCTAATCTACCAGTTAAAAATATATTATGCAAAATGTTTTTTTTTAATTATTTTTACAATTGTTGGGATTTTCATTTTTAGGTTTCCTACTGACCAAGATAATATTGCAACATTATCACCTGATACTCCAGCTTTGGGTCGTGTACAACAAGCTAAAGTCATTACTAGTCAAGAACCACGGGATGCTCACGATTTAAGATTAAGTGCTGGAGAAGTAAGTTATTGTTATTACAAATATTGTATATCCTCTACTTTCTATGTATTCATAGTAAGTTTATTTTAAAATAAATAATGTTCATTCAATTAAAGGTATATTATCAATTTATATAATTATTATAATAATAATAATATTAATGTTTTTTTTTAACAGGTAATTAGTATTGATGTAAATTCAGATATCGGTTCAAACTATTTTATTGGTAAAAAAATTCAAAAAGGAAAAGTTTATAAAAGCAATGTTAGGCTTTTAAACCAAAGTTAAATTTTGGTGACGTCACTTCTTACTTACATTCCACGGAGAACAAATTTTAAAGTTACTTATTCTTTTTTGTGTGTCTTATCAAATATGAACTGTATTGGTTCCTTAAGCACTCACATATGATGTGTTATTTCATATTCTACTTTTTGTTGTTGATCTTACTACTCTTTCTCTTAACTTATTTTACTTTAAATGGCACGATCTGGTTTTAGCATGCTTAGAAAATTATTTTATTACTATGTAATTGATTGTATTAAATACTAAGTTGTATTTTTGAATTATAAAATTGTTTTATTTTTATTGTTAACAAATATTTAGTGAATTTATTCAATTTATAAGCTAAATACTGTTATTTAATTTTATTTGTTTTTATTTTAATAGAAAAGTATCCAATATTATTTCAATTTTTAAAAATGCATTGCATTTACTGTGAAAAAAATATCTAAATTTCATGAAGCTTTGATTTGATTAAACACTTAAATATTCCAAAATTCCAAGAATTAAAAATTGTAATGAAATATGGCCCTTAATATAATGGTCAATTACAGGGAAAGATAATTGAGTAAATTGCTTTTAAACTGTAATATGAAAATAATAACAGATGATTCTGAAGTGTTCAGATTTTTTCTTTGATGGTAATTAATTAAATTAAACAAACCACTTATTAATGTTTTTATAATTTTATTTATGAGTAATTGTTACTTTAAAATTGATTTCTCTTTATATGTATTTACTTAAGCTAATTAAAATATACATCTTAATATAATATATTGTGTATTGAAACATTAATTATGCCCAATATATTAGAACAAGTAATATAGTATTAATAAAATTATCAATTTTTGATATTGAAATTGTCATCAAAAGAAAGTTATTAAAAGGTTGCAACTTAAATGTCTACATATTAGTGTTAAGCTATAAATTTAACTGTCAAATTAAATTAATTAACATTTAATATAGTGTAAACAAAGTATCAAATGAAAATGGTGGTGTTTGTCTCAAAAATTTTAAACATTTAAAATTTCCAAATAATTATATTAGTACAAAATTTTAATTATATAATTGTTATTTCAATACATTTTTAATTTTGATTTGTAATATCAAATATAGTTATAACCATTATAATTTAATTCAATTTAAATTTAGAGTTAAAATATAGAAATTTTTATTGTTCACATTGTGTTAATAAAGATTCTTTAACATTTTTTTTTTTTCTTAATTTTCTATCTAATTATTTTTATACATCTTTGATAAAAAAATTTATTCGTACCAGAGATATTCTGAGGGTCGTGAGAGTTAGCGAAGGGAGCCATTTTAAAGAACTGGAAACTTAAACTAATGTTATATATTCAATATATATTTATAGTTTATTATCATTTGGGTGTTAATTGAAGCGTTAATAAAATGCACGTAACTATTTAAAGCTTTATGTCTTAAGACTTAAGTCATTATTATTATCACCCATATTGTTTCCGTTAACTTAAGAGAACACTCAAAATAAAATATTTATGAAACAAACAAGTTCATCCATCTCACTAAATATTAATTTATTAATTTGTATTTGTTAAATATAAAATACTATATTTATTCTATATTCCCTATTTATTTGTAAATTATTTTATATAGTTGTGTATTAAATAAATAAATATTAGTACATTATAATAATTTACATACTTAATATCTACAACCTTTTTTTTTTGTCATTATTAATTTGTGAGTCGTGAAAATATTATGAAGATACTAATGAGTTGTGGGAAAAAAAAGTTAGTATGCCTCTAAGTTTTATCATATAATATTTCAAAACTTATATAAATTATATACATTACAAGAGAGTACTAAGATTTGAAATAAGTGCAACTTAAACATTTTGTTGGATTATTGTTCTCATAATATAAAATTGAAAGTTAAAAAAAAAAACAACATATTATTTTTTAGGTATAAAATCATACACTTAGTAGTTAAGCATTATTTAAAGTTAACCTGAAGACATTATTAAAACCAAGTAAATATCTAAATTGACATAACCACATCGAACAGTTGTATGTTTATAATAATTTAGTTGTGATCATTTAATAATGTTGTGCATGATTTACAATGACACAGTATTTCAAGGTGATTGAATTCAATGTTCCATTTGTAAAGAGTATTCCCATCTCATCTGTAAGGAATTTAGAGAGTTTAATTTTAGAAAAATTAATAAAACAACAAGAACTTCTAGGACTTGTTCAAATTTTATAACAAAAAAAAATCTATTATTTAAATTTTGTTTAAAAATAATTGTTATCAATAGTGAATTTTCTATTTCAAAAGTTATGTAACTGAATGTAAATACTTTTCTCCTTCTACGTTTCACTAAAATGGATATACTAAAATGTGTAAAATAAAACAAACGTTATAGATATCGTTGAAAATTACTTGTTTATATTACTAATTATTTTCTTACAATATCAGTATTTTTAAAGAAAAACATGATATTTGTTATAATAATAATAATAACATATTATGTATTAATTATAATACACCACTTAACATAATATGAAATATATATTATATATTTCAATCTACAATTAGTTGTTTTATTCAGATAAATTAAAAATAGGTAGCGATAATTAAACCTCTGCATAAATAAAAGTGGTAATAAAGGAAATATGAACAATTACCAACCAATTTCGATGTTAAGAGGGTGTCAGCGGAGCTATATTTCGGTATAAAAACATGTATTCAGTATTCAAAAAATAGGTTTTACTCCGAAAGTATTGTACTTAGCATATTAAAACCTATTATATAAATTAAAGATAACAACATTATCTAGGGAATGACATATCCATTTGGCTTTTTATATGAAGAAATACTATCCCTATAAGTTGTCGAAAATTGTAATTTTTTTTTAACTACCGTTTCAGTTGTTTAATCTACAAATGGATATGTCATGCCCTAGATAATATTGTATTCTTTAATTTTGATTGTAAAATATTTTTCTCTAAAAACACTCTACACCGTTGTATTAGACATTTTTCGTAGACATGTTTTTTGTTGTCGAATTTAATTTTTCATTCGTAATATGCAGCCGCTTACGGACGGCTGTGGCGATGTCGACGGTTACTTCTCCCACCACTACGACAAACGACGGATTTGGTCGCGTCTAGCACGCACGATCTATTTTAAACTATTCGGCGATTCATTTTTTCCAGGAATAATAATAATTATTATTGTGATTGTAGATGTCGAGCTAAATGGTATCTTCTGAAAGCTAATAAAAATAAATTTATTTTGATGATTGATATTTGATTATTGTGATGTTTCCAATCTAAAGCCGGGTTCCCACGACTTGTGTATTTGATGAACATTCGCTATTCGTGGATACTCGTCATGTAGCGGGAATGGTATATTTGTACGAATATTCGGTATTCGTCATTCGTCTTGTTCCCGCCGATTGTCGGTAAAAGTGACACGAGTCAAAGAAAATAATTGTATCACAATTGATATTTGATATTGATATTTTCCCACGACGTAAGGAATATTTGTGTATTAATTTCCGTGGTTCTAAATTTAATATTGTTGTGGCCAGAATACTTATACGAGTATTTGTGTTAACAAATATTTGTCAAATATGCAAGTAGTGGGAACAGAATATTTGGGTATTTGTACAAATAGACGAATATTCGGCAATTATAAATATTTGTCAAATACACGAGTCTTGGGAACCCGGCTTAACTAGTGAAGGATAATACTATTATAAATATTTACCATTTTCAGCGAATAAACCAAACCACTTATGTGATTTATATATTAATCATATAAAAAATATTTATACGTATATATACTGTATATATAGTATGTATGAAGTACTAAACATATAATATTTTAAATTTCTAATAATTGTACCTTATCCAAAATGAAAACTCGTTATTGACCGTTTGTCCGTTCAATGAGAAACACGAGAGCTTAATTATTAACTATGGCGAATAAAAAATTGATGGTAAAGCGAACCATCAGAAAAAAAATTTATGTTTTTTTTTTCATTTCGGATAATTGGGACAAAATAACATTCAACCGATGTGTCCCAATAAAGCGGATTTCAATATACCGTGTGTTACTGAAAATAATCAATTTATTTGAACGTCATACTAATTTGTTTTAAATATATTTTTATATTTTCAATAGTCATTAATCTGATTACTTTGTGTTGACACAGTCGAGCATATAAAGAAATATTATTCTGTCTATTGGTCGCAGTAAATTTTTAATTGTCACAAACGCCAATAACAGTTAATAATAAAACTAACTAAATAATTAAACATAAACCATAAATAATAGAAACACATGAAAAATATAACGCGATCCACTAAATATATAATCGCGACCCACTTTTGGGTCACGACCCACAGTTTGGGAACCTCTGCTCTATACCATACTTGTTTTCTCAATTGGACAAAATCAGTGACAGGTATGGATGCTAATGGTTTAGCAGAAGGTTTTTTTAAAAATATCTTTTTACATAATATGAAATTCAAAAAGCTAATTGGTGAGTACCTATAATAGTATCAAAAAATTGCATTAAAATATTGCAATTAATTAATAATTAATAATCATCAACTGTGTTGTGTCAATAAATAATATTTAAAATGATATATACTTGTATGACTCATGTTACAGGCGATTGTGACAGCAGTATCATCTAACGATTAAAAGATATTTTACCTTATGGTTCTAATTTTTTGGTCGAAAAAATCGAGTGTCGTAACCATATGTTACGTAATTTTATGTAAAAATTGACTGCAATAGTAAAAAAATCGAATTTTCCAATTAATTTAAGGAAATTCATTCTTCAACATAGGTACTATGAGATTTAGAACGGCTTTTGTAAGAGCTATACAGTATAGAAAGAAGAAGAACTAACTAAACAGTAAATTCAAGAGAATGCTGAAAAAGTACTGAGTACCATTTTATTTGTTTTGTTGATTGTTTTTAAATCGTAATAAAAATGTAATGTTCTATAATAAACATTATTAAATACTTGTAATATACATTTTTCACATGCATTTTAAAAAGTAAGTAATTAATTTAAAAACATAGATCAAGCTATGCTGTAAGCAGTTTTTTTGTGGTTTATGAGTTGATATACAAATTAAAGTTAAGAGGAGCTCTAGTGAATAGGTAGACTGTTAAGTGTAAGGCCCGGCGCACATTGAGACGCAAGCGACGCAGCGCAGCGTAGTTTTCTGTAACCTATTAATTTGAACGTACTAGTGCATATTGGGAGGCAGGGCAGGACAGAGCAGTTCTGTGCCTGTGTCGACCTGCGTCACGCAGTGTCCACGAGACAGATTACTGCACACGTGCCATGCAGTTTTGGAAATTACGACTAAATTTGTTAATTAAGTCAAGCTTTTTTAATAATTACGATGGAAGATACTCTAATAAAAGCCGTCAGATATTACAATATATTATATGACACTAGACAAATTTAATTCACCATGACTTTGTCTTCTCTTCATAAAATTACTTTTCCACGTTTTTTTTTTCTTTACTTAACGAATACAACAAAATTAATTCTTCAAATTCGTCATCGGAATCTTATTCAGAACTTAAATTTATTAAATTTTCGGCCATCATACTATCGCTCATGCTGGTTACTGTGGACAACAACTGTCGGTGAAACGTCAGAACTACGTAGTAATATGCGCTCACTTAGGCTGGATTTAGTGCTCGACCGACGGTCAGCGCTGACGTCGGTCGAACGTAGCTATATCAATAAATGCATACGAACAACTACAGTGCAGCGCTGAAAAGTTGATACGCGCGTACAGCTACGTCGCGCTGACGAGGACCGTCGGTCGAGCTCGTCCGTCACGCATACGTCGGTCGACCGACGGGCCATATCGGTAAATGCTGCCATTTAGTTTGACGCTGATTGAGCGACCGACCGTGAGCGCGTACTCGAGTTTTTCAATTTTTATTTTACTATTATATAATTATAATTGTTAATTACAATTTTACAATGAACATCGATACATGGACATGATATCTTCTACGTCTTTTTTTATTTTTTCTTAATTGTTTGCATAAATAATACGCACATATCATAGAATTTACTAGGTATGGATTCATAATTCCAAAAGTTTAAGTATTTAAAAAAATTGACTAATAACGAAATAACATACACAATATGACCGACACAGTTGCCGATCAGCTATGTCTAAACGCTTTGTCACGACCGACGGTCAGCACGTACCGTCGGTTGAGCACTAATCATAGCCTTAGGTAGCGCAGTTTTTCCTGCGCCACCTACGTCTCAATGTGCGCCGGGCCGTAAAGTGAAAAGCGAGCGCGCAGCGTGCTTATAAATTATAGCCGGATATAAATACGACACTTACAGTCGACGATAATAGGTGTGATTACGGCCTGCCGTGGTGCCGCCGATACGGCGCGCAACGCCATCTCTGGAGAGTTGCATACGTTTTATTTTGCGCTGACATCCTCTTAAGTAATTTCTCAAAAATGTTAGAAAAAATTGGCATTCGTGTAACAGGTGATCTACCGGGGGGTGGGTGAACTGTGAATTCAAAACGAGTGATCTACGTTTTAACAGAATAAAAACACATTATATTTTTTACTAAGAGTACGTCATATCACAAATATTCGTCAAATATAAAAATAAAAAATAATTAGACAAATATAATTATAATTTCAATTACAGTAAACATTTTATAAAATTCAGACGCACCCATTATAGACAAACTCCGACCAACGAACAATAACGAATCTAACCTATCCAGCAACATTGCTAATGACTCGTAGTTATATTGTAAATGTCATTAATCATTATCGCAATACTGTCCCATTGCGGTCTACGATAATGTACGTATAACAAGAGTATAATATAATAATAGGTAATAATAATTGTAGATCGCCAACTACACCTTATATAATATGGTAGATCACCTGATACACCTAAAAAGAGGCCGTAGATCACCTGCTACACGAATGCCAAAAAATTATTAAAGCTCGTTTGATAGATTATTTAGAAAATAATAGACTCCAATAAAAAACCAATATGGTTTTAGATCTAGAAGCACTGAAGATACTTTAAATGCAGTCACTACATTTTTATCAAGAGCACTTGATAAAGGAGAATAAGTAAAAGGTATAAATTTAAATTTAGTCAAAGCCTTAGATACTGTAGATATAGTTTGTTATATTTAGTCTTCAATAGTTACGGTATAAAAGGAATCGGGTTTAAAAGTTATCTTAATAAGAGGAAGTAAATCACTAATTTTAATGATATTTCAGGACAGGAAAATGAAGTTTTATGTGGTATACCTTTAGGAAGTGTCATTAGTCTTAATTTTTATTATGTTTATAAATAGTCTGTATGATATTAATGTTAATAGAAAATTAGCTGTTTATGCTAATGATAAATGTATGTTATTTTCTGGTACACATTGGGAACAATGTGTACATTAACAAAATTAACAAAACAATACTTACAATTTTTTCAATAAATAATAGTTTACCATTGTTTGAAGAAATGACTTAAATAAATGTTTAAACATCAAACTGTAACTGCCCAAAAATTAATATAGTTCAAGGGTTAAATATCTAGAAATTATATTAGACTATAATCTTGAGTCGAATATTGATAATAATAGTCCGATAATTAAATTACGTACCATAGTGTTTAAATATATATATATAAATGTTATATAATATTATATAAAATACATAATATCACCTGATATTTCGAGGATAGCTTATCTTTCTTTATACTAATCTATATCACAACAATTTGTGGTCATTTGGAGTGGCTTCTCTAAAAATATTCTTAATTCTCTTAAGGATACAACAAAATAATATAATTAGTTTATGTTTAAGGAATGTTAGGAAAAATGTATATTTATATTTTAAACAAAATAAGCCCATGAGTAGAAATAGATTATTTGATATTCAAGTGGTTAAGTTTTTTCTTTTTCAAAAATTCATTGATAATGATCCTGTTAATTTTAACTCTGACAGGCGATAAAAAAAAATTCTTATTGATAATACTAACATCAAGAAATGTATAAATTATGTTTTGTTTAGCGAAATAAATCAATGTTTATAATTTGATAGTATTAAGTCTATACTACAATATATATATATATACAGTGGAACCTCAATAAGTCGAAATTCAAGAGAAATGCAATTTCTTATCGAGGTTTCGACTTACTAAGGTTTTAGAAAAAAAATTAGACTTAAAGAGTTTTTAAAATGTATGTATGTATTAAAGTTTTTAAGTAGCAACTGGCAATCAGGGCCAGCGCTAGGTATTCCGGGACCCTGGACATTAGCCTTTAGGATATAAAATATCAATGTGTCTCACGGTATTAAGATGATAATATAAAATCATAGGGATCTTTTAACAAGGGCGGAGCCCTGGACAAATATCCTATTTGTCTTCCCCTAGCGCCGACACTACTGGCAATACCGATACAAATGAAAAATATTGTTGTGTGCCGAGATTAGTTAATACAAACGATAACAAACACAATAAATGTGATTAGAAAAAAATCATCGGAACGTTTAAACAAATGTTTATAAAGCTATCCGTCATTAACCGTCTATATTCGGAGCACAATATGTTCGAGTTATCTATATTTTTTTTTTCGAGTAATCGAGGTTTAAGACTTATCAAAGTTCCACTGTATATATATATTTATAATTCATTTATTATTTGTACTATAACTCCCTAAATCACCACAAACTCATTTTAAAAGTGTAGGTAATTTTTGTTGTTTTATTAATACTTTGTATTAATCTTATATAAAAAAAAAAGAAGAATTTTGATGAAATTAACAACAAATTTGTTAAAAAAGAATAAGTTTTATAATACAAATTTTAACACAAGTTTGTCAAAAAATATATAGTACTTTGAAGCATAGATACTTCATAATGTAATACAATTTGTAACATTTTCTTTTCTTTGAACATAGGAATATTTTCATTTTCATATTACACGTGATAACAATAAGTTTATAATTTATATCACAAAATATAATTTTAATAAATAATAAATAGGTATTCTACTCACTTTTTAATAATTTTAATTTAAATTTCTACAAAAAAAAAAATCTACATATTACAATTGGCCAACTATTTTACCAAAATGTTTTCATCAAATTACTTGTGTATATATAAAATATACAAAGTAACTAAATTTCCAAAATGAAAAAAGAATATAATGGGAATAAATATGTATACAAATTTAATACAAGGAAACGATATTCATTACAAAAATTATATTGGTAATGTCTGGTCCAGAAACTCTTTCAATTTAAGCATTGCTTTCATCCTGTGAGAAATAAGGTTTTTTTGTTCTTTAGACATTTCTGCATATGTCATCTCGTACCCATCCGGCTTAAAACACGAATCCCAACCAAAAGTTTCGATCGAAGAAGGTTCAACAATTGTGCCATTTGTTTCTCCGTTGAATATTGTCACTTTACCTTGTTTATCAACGTAAGCAACAGTGGTAACAGCGATGGCAGTTTTGTCTTCGAACCCTTGGAGCATACGATATAAGCCCATTGGACCGACTGGTTTGAGAAACCATTTGACATACGGACCTAAACAGAATCATTAATAGTAGTATACACACAAGAGTACAAAAATACCTACCCGGAAGTCCACCAAGAGCGTTGAAGCACAGACTAGTGTCTTCTACTATGCACGGGCCTTTAATAATTTTAAAGGCCTCGTTTGCTTTCAACGTACAAATTTCTTCACGTTCACCTTGGTGCTCGGGTAGATCGATGTTTATGTTGGTCAACTGCAACAATAATTACATGGTTCGAGAAGAATGTGACGGGAATCGACAGCGTACACAGATGAAATATGTAGCAGGTATTAGATAAGATGAAAACGCTCACGTGGAAAGGAACGGGGGAACCTTCATAGAATTTCTTGAATAGCTGAACAACTTCTTCCAGCTTTTTCACATTGCCCGTCACGAAAACAATGACGTTTTTCGACATTTCGGCACACCCACGGGTGAGTTATATCGCCGTAAACGTTGGCCCGAAGCGAAAGATTACGGTCCGCGGAATAACGCGGCTTAATTTACCGGTGTATTCAATCGATAATTAACGAATTCGCCCGGACTCACCTGTCGCGCGGACGTGTTCGTGAGCGCGCTCGAGCGATGCAAAACGTTTCGGTGCAGAGCACTGGTTGTGGACATTTGTTACGATACGGTATTGCGTTGCGAACGTTTTCCGCGTTCGACGCTGGTTGTTGATTACGAACCAATAATGTTTCAGCGATGATAATATGTGATAACGGTAGCTATAAGTATTGTAGAGATAGCCGGTAAGTATGCGTGCTACTGCGAACACTGTTATTGAGAACTTCGAACGTATGTCCAGGTGCTAGTGTGTCTGCGAAGAGATCGTTTTGGTGCCAAGACGAGTTCTGTCATTATGTACTAACATTCTCGTCGACGGTAAATTGATAAATCTTGTGGCGCGTATCGCTACGAGTCGAACGAAGTTTTCGTTTCCGACATGCCTACTGAGAACTGTGACTTGCGGTTCGTCGTCAAGTGTTATGTCACGTCTCCCGTAGTTAGATAAAAATAGCTTGGAATTAGTACTATAATCACCCTGCTTGCAGACTAAGCAGTACTGATGTACGGTCAATCGGTTGACATGCAACACAAATTTGGCGCGGTCGGTAAAATACTCAAAACGAAGGCAATTCCACATTGGAACCACCGAGAAGCTGAAAAATTTCTAGTCCTTCAACTTCTCGACTTCAATTGACTAGTCTGATACTCCATCGGACCATTCAGTCACCAGTTGTCAAAATGTCTTCAATCAACACTTGTTTGACAGTTATTATCAATTATGCTAAAATATATAAAATAAAAATATTTTTTTGAATACTGATGGGGAAACTGGTACATCTCCATTAAAATTAGCTACTTTAATGAATAAAGGGAACCCTAATGAAAAAAAAATAAAAAAGTTAGTCTCAAAAAGAAAAATGAAATTGAAATTCTTGATTAAATATAACTGGTTATGGGAACACTCTGTTCAATGAAATGAAAAATATTAAATATTGTATTATTAAATATTATAATAATAAATTGTCAATCAATTATAAACAATATGAACACAATATTGTATTAAGTTAGTAATCATTTAGTTAATAACTATAAAAAAAAATGTATGGTTCATTTTTAAAATGTCATTGTTTCACCCTGAAATTTTTTATTTGGATGTTAGGTGTAATTGAATATGTATCATTATAATTCTTTACACGTATTTGATAATTACTTTATAATAACTACTATGTTAAAATAAGCCACATGCGAATTACAAAAAAATAGTATGGAAAAGCTATAGATTGCAAAACAACACCATCATCAACCGAATATTTCAATCAAGGAAAAGGTTAACCAATTGATGAAAAAACAATTAACTAACGAGGACATGATCAATCAGCATTTATAAGAGCTTCGGTTTAGCACCAATTTTAGACATATCCAGCTGTACAATTTATAAGCTTATATCTGTTATTATCATTTTACTTTGTCTAAAAAGATGTTTGTATGATTGTGTGATTGTATGTGGATGTTAAATTAAAAGTGTTAATAAACACAACTCGAAATTCTACATAAGTATCAAATAAAAGTTAATTTAAACTAGTAACTTAGTAGGTTTTGTAATGTGTTTATAACGCCATATATTATTTGATTTATATTTTCTAAATGATTTTTAATAATCTGGAAAGTCAATAGATGTGGGTGATTATTGAAATGAATTGATAAATAATTTAAATTATTTCTATGGGCTATAATATATAGCTTATGTTAATAATATAGTCTCTATATTATCAACATGAGCTCAATATTATCTGCAGTATAACCATAGAAATAATTTTTGTAGTATAAAATAATATATTTGTCAAATTTTCTAAAATTCTAAACAATAGTACAAATAATGTAAAATTTGCTTTTAAGATTAATTATAATTTAATCAAAAATAATAGAACTAATAAATTCTCAACAAATTCCCTTGTTTTTGAAAATGCTGGTATATATAAAATTTAATTTAATTGTAATACATTTTATATTGCTAAGATAAATATAAGTTATAAAATAAGATATAATATACATAGACTTGTTTGAAATAAATTAAAAAAAATGATTACTACTAATTCAAATTTCAGTAAACATATTTTAAAAAATAACCATAGTATACATTTTGATTTTAATACAGACTTATAAATATTAAATACCCGAAATAACATTTACATTAATTCAATTTTGAAAGAGTTACACTACCAAAATAAAATATATAATATTAATTTTTTTATTAATAATATATCAATAAAATAATCGTTACAATATTTTGAATGTTCAAACAGATTTTAAAATAATATCTTATATCAATACACTTTAGATAATAATAAATAATAGCCAAAGTATTTATTTGTCTTAATGTATCCATCTTATAAGAATTCATTTTGAATAATTTCTTCTATTAATATAAATTATTCCTATGTGAAACGACTAATTTTTCCAATGGTGCAGGAGCTATTTTTCACGAGGGACAAAACATAAGAAAAACTTATTAACTCTAATAAATTTATTTGTGATTGATAACAGAAAACTTTTCTTAATATATTTAATTTTTAATGTTGGTATAAGAAGTATATTATAATATAATAATTATACAAATGTATTAATATTATTTTAATATAAATACATTATATTTATACATTTATAAATCTAAATAAAACATAAAATACATTGACATATTGGTGATTTTTTAATAGGTTATTTGTATAATGAAGTCTTTTTGGATGATCCTAGTGTCGTCAAGTGGTTTCAATAAACATATTTCAGCATGTAAATGGATAGTGTTTAATATCTTATCAAACTTTTTATTAGTTCTGAATAATAGTAATGTTTTCTTCAATGTATCTACAGCTTTAATGGATTGAGATACACAAAATTAAGGATTTTGTAACACTTTTGCCAAATGTTCTACTGGATCATAGTAGTTTGCTAAAAAAAAAAAAATATTGTTTTCAGTTTTTTAAATTTGTTTACATATTCTCTTAATGTTGATTTTCCATCTGTTATAGAAACATTCCCTGAAATTATTTTATCTAATATTTTTTGAGCTCAGCTACAGTTATCTTAAAATATTGTTAAACTTTTAACCCTTATAGATCATCTACTTGGACAAAATGAAAGTAGATTTTGTTTTAAACCACCACATTCAGAGTACCTTTTACATGACTAATATTATGTTTTCATACTTTTTCTCTTATCAGATACAAGAATAGTAATTGATATATCTGACCATAGTGAAGTTATCACACATACCATATTTTTTTTGTACAATTTCTTGTAATGCTAAATCAAATGAATGATTATTTGAGTGTTCAAAACGATTTTTTGGTTGATTATTTTAAATTTCCAAGACATATTGACAACTCCATCAAAATAGAGGTCTATTAAATTTGATGTAGATAAAATGAATCATGATAATATATCTTTTATTGTATTAAAAATTATTAACACTTCACTATCAGATGTATAATATAAACCAGTAAATAGGTTTATTATAAATTTCAAAATTTGAATCTACATAGCGAATGCATAAGAAAAATTACACTGGAGAAAAAATATCAGTAGTTAAATCAGTAATTATAGAGAAATATTCTAATTTTTTTATTAATTTCACAAGTTCACGTTGTACTTTTAATGATATTATTTTAAATGCCTAGTTCAATCAGAATATCTGAACTAAATCAGTTATTTTTCTATTGTACCCAATATCTTAAATATGGAACATTTAGACATCTATCTTCTAATAAAGAAATAAAATTTCCATTATTATTAGAATGACCTCTTATACTTATTCTTATATGACTAAGGCAGCGATTACTAAACTGTGTTCCGCGGAGCTTTTAGGGCTCTGTTCGTTTTAGGTACCTACCATAGAAAATTTAAAAACGTAACAACTACTGGTCGTTATTTAAAACAACGAGTGTACCTATATATTTTTACAATACTCCGTCACTTAAATATAATTCACCGATACGTATACAAACAATATTAATATCTTGATAGGAAAATATAATTTTTTAATTTTAGATAATACGCATTTCCATTCCTAGCCAGATATATTTATATAAATATAATGTTAAATGTACACTATCTCGTTTTGAGTTTTCTCCCAGAGGCTAATATGTACATATATACTTTTTTGTATTGCACACTTTTTGTTATACTACCCTTTTGAACGTTAACAGTAATGAGACCCACAGTTAAAATAGTTGGCATTTTAAATTTAAAACAAATATAACTATATTATTTGTGTTTTTTTTTTTTTTTTTATTACAAAGTATAGGTACTTTAAGTACCGTACTTACATTTATAATCCAGTTACAGTTTTAATAAATGGCTACTTTAAATAACCTGACTCACAGTCTTTTAATTGTGAATCCGTCTCTGTGTTGATTCATTAATTCATGTAAAACCGATTTTCTAATCTACTTTATCGATGACCAGTAGAGTAAAGAATCGCGTTTTAACATTATTTTAAAATTGATTTTAGTAGTTTTTAATATATCATTGAAATTGTCTGTATAAAACCGCATAACAGATAATATGTAATAAGTGTCCTGTTATTTTTTAAATTTTTATATGTAATCATGGTTTTAGATCATATTTTTAAACGTAGCTACATATAGATATAATTGCATTTTCAGATTTTGGTTAAAAATTGTTATACTCATTATATAATAAGACCTCGCTAATCTGACACTTTTTTAATCTGCCGGCTTGGCAGCACTAACTAACAAGGGTCCACGATACTTGGGTTGGAGTTTTGTTGACATGCCAGTCGATACTGCAGGTGTCCTTAAGAATACGAGGTCGACTACTGTCAATCGTCTTTCGAAGTGATATCGGTTATGTTGAGTGACCCATTTTTGTTGAGCAATCCGAATTCGCTCACGCCCTCCTCCCTCCATTTATCTATAGGTTGCCGTTCTGTCTCAATATCAGTCAAACTAGCCACTCAACCATTCGTCAGAATTGGAGTAAATCCATGGAGTAACTGAAAGGGGATATATCCAGTTGTACTGTTGACGGCGGTGTACATTACTAGTTCGATGTGTGGTAACTGACGGTCCCGATAACGCTTTGTGGGACATGACGTCATTATAGCTGACACAAGCGTGTCGTTCACTCGCTCTACCTGGTCATTCGCTCTGGGGTGACGTACCGCCGTTACATAGTGGATGATACCAAGTTGGACACAATACCTCCGAAAGCTACCCGACGTGAATGCCTTCCCCGATCACTTATAAGGCGTTTCATCAACCCGTATTGATCATGGAGTTTGTCCAAACTTGCTATAACTCCCGCCGTGGATGTATTTTTTACTGCATACATTTTTACGAACTTAGTGAGATCATCTATTAACACAAAGATGAATGAATTACCACGTTCTGATGTAGTAAATGGCCCTAAATGATCTACGTGTACTGTCTCAAATGGTCGTTTTCCCGGCTCGATTGGATGCAGAAATCCTGGTCCAGGATCTCTGGGTACCTTAGATACTGCGCAAGGTATGCACATGCTTATATGCTGTCGTACATAACACTTCATCTTGGGAAAATAATATGAGTTCATTATTCTCGCACAAGTATGATCCAGTGCAAAGTGACCCGCTTGGTCATGGTTTTGAATCACAAGACTCTTTGGCATCGCTCGCGGCGCGAACCACAGTCTTCTCTCTCCGCTGGGGTCCTCAGTCGTCGATGCACGAGACCGTTTACCAAAACATAATTTTGTTTAATTTGTTTATCCGGGTTTCCTCCTGTCAAGGTTCTTATGATTTGCCGTATATCCGCATCGTTGTGTTGCATAGCTTGCACCAGTTGCTTCGCAGGGTTTAAGTCAAAGCTCATTAGCACTTCCAGCCTCCGGTTGACAATGTCATTAAACGCATTGTTATTTTCTTTAGTGAGAGCTCGGCTAAGTGCATCGATTTTGATGATATCATTATTGAGTTCGCTGAGCTCAAAGCCCGCAAAATAAAATTTTAACTTAAAAAAATATATTAAATATAAATTAAAATATAGGTACTTGTTTTTTCTTTTTTAATTTAAATAATATTGTAATAAAAAAAATAAAATAGACTAATAAAATAAAAATGTTGAAATGCTTATGAATCTTGAATTTGAATTAGTATAATGAAAAAACAAATATTATTCCTAAAATTGTTTTATATATATATAAATAGTAAATTGTATTTTTGGAAGTTTTATAAAGGGCCGGAACAACCATTTAGTCTAGGGGCCCGAAATTGTATGGGGGGGGGGCTGTGAGTACAGTATAATTAAAATTATAATAAAATCGCCCAAGACAAACTTTTCCGTTACAAAGAAGTTCCTATTCTAAGGAGATGAAAAAAAAATAAATATTTTAATTACATTCAAAACTGAATTTTTTCGTACATAATATATGTATATGTATGAATTATTTCAAAACCAAAATGATTTTTTGATTCACACCTACTAAATAAATTATTATTTTTCAATTTATAATTTAGGAAGATCATTTTTTATGTTTGTTTCTGATGATTATGGG